GTACTTTTGCTTAGGAATAAAAGTATAAACTAATATTGGTGTTGAGAGGCTTTATACTGAAAGTATAAAATGAAATGTATATACTACAAAATTTTAAAAAATATATTCGTAGTTTTCTAATTTAGAGGCTCCATTAATTAAAGGTGTTTTTTATTATTTAAGTTTAAAATTGGAGGACAAGTCAGAGGGAGGGTTACCTTTATAAAGAGGCCACATCCCATAAAGGAGCAACAACAGTATATAGGTTATACTTTTATGCTAAAATGGTTTCAGAATACACACACTGACATAGTCATCTAGATCAAATCTACTGTTACGTCTCCGTTTGTTAATTGATTTTCCGTAACTTCGTTCCGACGAAACTTTAACGACACAAGTCCTTACATAATAAAACTGGTTTATTTTTTCTGAATATAACTTTACCGATATACTTATTTTCAACAGTCGCTCTTTTACAAACGTTTTAACAACGAACGTTAACTTCAACAATACTTCTCACTGCAGTTCAATTACTCACTACCTACACACACATTGTTGTTACGTTGTGAGCGTCCTATTCATATACCAGAAAAAACATATATCTAGTAAATGCTAGGGCATTCACGAAGGAACAAGATACTTCCAGAAAATAGGCGGCGTGACAATAGTCACGTGACCCCACTGACGCAACACTACCTAATAACCCGAGCGAAGCCGGGTAGTTTCACAAGTTGTTAATAAGCTGTTTGTCTTAATTTTCCACTAATTCAATCCCAAAGGCTATTTATAAATTAGTCCTTAAATACCTGATATTCAGGAATACTAGTGATCGAAAGAATGTACCAAGAGCCTATAGAAACAAGAAACAAATATGGTTTGATTTGGTTCTTGTTAAGCGCAAAGCTATACAATTGGTTGTCTGTGCTCTTTAGGATGTTGTATTATTGAACCATCATTTATAAACTTAGCTCCAAAAGTGAAGGCAGCTTGTAGAAATGCCAAGGAATAAATAAACTAATTTCTTATCGTTAGTGGACTGGACATAGCCTTGTTTTCGCCAAATAATGTAAAATAACCCACTCAAAGAAGGAACAATGTTACAATTTACGCACGTACGTGGGAGGGGTGTGTGTGTGTGACGTAAAAATATATGCTTATATAGCTATAGGGTACGTATTTATGGTATTTAACGTTTTCTACATAGTATACATTCTTCTGATGAAGCATTAGATTTTTTGGCTTGAAATAGTCACATGCCCCCAGACCCCATAGTATTAGCATGCTGATTGTGCTTCGCACAATATGTTTGTTTTTCGTTAGTGATCAAAACATTATGACTATGGTGGTATGTGCCTTTTGTTGACACTGTAACTGGTTTGAACATAGATGAAGAATAGCAATAGTTATTAAGCCATTGAGGAACAGAACTCCCAATTTTGAGATTTTGGGAATAAAATGACACTTTATTCCAAGTAAATGAAATGCTAGGTTTATTCACATTCCAAAAAAAATCGGTCAAGGCATGGGTCAGTGAAGCCAAGAAATGTGTAGAGGAGATATAACCATTGGTAAGCATTAAGAGTATTGAATGGGTACAGGTAGATGGCTTTGAGTTAAAAACAATTAAGATTGGCAGCAAAATGTGAAGGGTAGCCGTGAGGACTGATCAACACAACTGATGTCATGCAATGAATATATGAGAAGAGATCGACACTGATGATAGCAATGGATGTCTCAACCATACGGAAAGACATGACTGCATGAGCAGGAGCCATGTGCAGAGATGGATTCTTGTATTTAATTGTCCAGTTCATTCAGAGCAGAATGTGAATCATACGAGGGTGCACTTGTCTGGTTAACCAGTAACAGTGATGATAGAATCATACTCCTGACATGGGTAAAAACTTTGAGAGACTTGAAGGTTCAGCTATTGACGACCTATGTTCCAGGCTACAGCAGCATATATCATTTAATGGGAAAGTGGACCACTTAGCTGGTAAGGCACAACCTTTGGACAGTCTGAATAATGTTGTCAGTGGAATAACATGTAGACTGAAAGAGCAGGAAAAGGTGGAACAGATATCACACTTGTAGGTTGGAAGACTGAAGGAAGAGTGAAAGTATGAAAGCAGAGAAATATTTGGACATTATAACTAGAAGAAGCTTGAGGAGATTATTGGAGGGATGGAAACCAGTGCTTTGAATTTGTGATGGCACAATGCCACGTGGACTGCTCAATGATGAACGTACTGTGATTGGACGCCACAACTGGAGAGAGGAGAGCCTGTGATTTGCCAGGTGCTGACACTCCTCTAGCATGTAAATAATTCATTACATTCTAGGTTTACAGTTTCGCACTTTTATTAAAGGTTACAACTGCTAATTATTAATGTTGAAATTGTTTAAACAAAGTTCAATAAGGCTTTTAAATATTTAAAAACGAATAAAATAATTGGAGGTCGTCTCTGCAACAATAATGGTTTTGGAGATAAGTTTATCTTTTATTTGGATATTACAATTTTCAGAATTATAGTATTCTGTTGCTCATTTTGCATCAATCCAGAAATATGTGATGCTATTGGTGTTACATATGTATATATAGTTATATATATATATAGTCATATATACATATATACTAAATTCAGAAAGATTCCGCTTTTCTTTTAACACCACATAACACATGGACAACAAGGGACATTTAGTCCTTTAAGTTTGTCCTTTCACACCATACTATGAAAACATTAAAACTTTCGACCCACCTTTACTTTTCAGGAAATCATTGATTCCCTTCTTAAACTCTTACATAGTGCTGGCTTGCACTACTGCAGACGGCAACTTATTTCATTAGTTATGTTTGTAAATACAACCTAAAATTATATTAGCTTTGCTTCTAGCAACAAAGCAATGCTTCGAAGGTTTCAATGACTTATTAGCCGAACCACCACTATGTCAAGATCATTTTCTTAAACAACGCTATTGAGCTGGTTTCCATCTATTTTAAACATATGATCTAAATTATGAAATCCATTAACTTGCACTTATTATAATTAAAGGTCATTCGCCAAAAATTTGTGATACTTACCTATTGATCAGAGTAATTCTGGAGCATATGAACATCCTCTTTACAGT